GCTCCAATTGGAAAAAACAAAAAAAACATATTAGTAATGATTTTGACAGAAGCAGAGTTTGAGTTCCTGATAATTACTATTTCACCAAACCAACTGGGACACAGAGCTGCAATTAGAAAGAAACAATCTTCCACATATAATGACTTTCATGCTGCATGATACTATTAAATAACCATCATTAGCTACTAAAGTACATACTACCCATTTTCCAGAGCCCTTTCTCTGCCAGGAAATTTAAGACCAAGAATGATCAATGAATGAGTCATCAGCATGATCACTGTTGATACAGGACATGCAAATTGAAATTAGAAGATTGAAAAGTATAAGGAATTACTACAGATGGTGATATTACACCGATATTAAAGCTCTTCATGCAAGAGATCCAAAGTTCATTTCTTTGTGTCTACAGTTTATGGGTTAGAAAAAAGAAGGTACTATCCATGGAATGCTATGGGGAAAAAAAGAACAAGGAGGTACTGGGCAATTTTCCAGGTTCTGTGCTGGGTGTTGTAGATATAAAGATAAATAAAACATAGCCACTGTTCTGAACAAGCTCACAGATTGGGAAGTGAGGACAGACAAGTACATACACACAAAAATCACAGTACAATGTGATAAACACAGTAATCAAAGTGTTCACCTGGTACGCGACAGCACGGTAGAGTGTGCCTTGTAGGGGAGAATTGAGGTGGGGTAAAAAACCTGTCTGCTTAAGAATCTGCAACTTCCTAAATAAGGACTTTAATTCTCCTCTTCTTGAAAGCCATCTTCTTTCTCCTCTCATTTGGAGAAATGTTTAGATCACACAGGCACAGGAAAGATAGTAAGCAAATAAGGGAGAAATGAAAGACAGGTGACTCTCTCAGAGAAAACAAACTTATTCTAAGCTTTTTCAAGCCTTTAGGAGATGTAATAAATTAAGGGGGAAGTTTTTAATCAGAACATGAAACATAGGCTGTGTTCTTTACATATTATAATGATCCAATGACTACAGTAGCATTCTTGCGTCTTTAAGAAACGTTTACATCAAATTGAGGTCTGAGAGGAAGGCAGATTCCTAAGCAGGCTCCTTCTCTTAATATAATTTTAAAAGAGTTGCAACTCCAAACACATGTTGTTTAGCCCAGAAACATGCTGCCTTTTGCTTGGTTGTTTTTGTTTGTTCCGGGTTAGCTCACAGATACAATGTTAAGAAATATGTGGCTAAAAGAATTTGATAACATGGCATGGCTCGTGTCTATCTCAAACTCTCTTTTTATTAAGTAAAATTCACATGACATAAAAGTCATAATCTTAACCATTTTGAAATGTACAATTCAATGGTTTTAATACATCCACAACATTGTACAGATGCCACCACTATCTAGTTCCAGAAATGTTCATAACCCCAAAAAGAAACCCATATCCATGAAGCATTTTGTTTCCCTTCTCTCTCCCCCTTAACCGCGGCCAACCTGTAAGCTGCTCTGTCTCTCTGGATTTGCCAGTTCTGGATGTTTCTTATAAATGGAATCATGCAGTATGTGACTTGTGTCTGGCTTCTTTTACTCTGCATAATATTTTCAAGGTTTGTCTATGTTGTAGCATGTTTTGAAATTTCAAACCTTTTTATGCCAAATGCCTGCTCGGTTGTGTTTGACTCTCTGTGACCCTATGGACTGTATTTCTGCCAGCCTCCTCTGTCCATGGGTTTCCCTAGGCAAGAATACTGGAGTGATTTGCCATTTCCTACTTCACATTCCTTTTTATGGATGGATCATAAAAGGATATACCACACTTTTTTAATCCATTCATCAGTTGATGGATATTGGTATTGTTCATCTTTTTGGCTATTGTGAATAATCCTGGTGTGAAGATTCATGTACAAATTTTTGTTCAAATGTCTATTTTCATTTTGGGGGAGTAAATACCTAGGAATGGAATTGCTGGGTCATATTCTAAGTTTAACTTTTTGAGGAAAGGAATCAGCAAGTATTCTAAAGTTGCTGCATCATTCTTTATGCCCACCAGCAACATATAAGGGGTCTAACTTCTCCATGTGCTTGTCAACATTTGTTATTTTTCTTTTTCGTAAAAAATTATTATAGCCTGGCAAAAACCACTACAATATTGTAAAGTAATTAGCCTCCAACTAATAAAAATAAATGAAAAAAAATTATTATAGCCACCCTAGGGGGTGTAAAGTAGCATCTCACTGTCAACCTGTTTTCATGGATTAAAAGTTCATCATAGAAACCACTTCACAAAGAAACAAAAAAGCAGGCTCACATCACATCTCCTTTTCTTTTGTGTATGAGGCGACCAGTAAATTAAGAGGAGATTTCCCTAAGATGAACTGCAAAACAAACATATAAGATCCTAAACAGCATAGCTGTGCTTTTTGGGCTCTCATCACCCACTGCCACTGGAGCAGCTGTGATCAACACCAAGGGGTCTAGATGATGACTATTGAAATGTCAGCCTCCTGAGTAATAGCCAGGTGTCTTTAGTCAGTGATCAGCAAAGAGGCATTTAAATCATTCTGAGGTTTGGCTTGTTAAAAGCTCTGGGGGGTGGGGGGAAGCCATTTAAAAAAAAACAACAAACAACCCAATGAACATTTTTATTTTTTTCTCCATATGTGCTGTATTTTTTAAGGAAAACGAAATAAAATTAACCACGAATTCCACATGCTACTTAAGATAGAGTAATTTGTTGAGGTAAAGCAATGAGTTAAACAGCTTGGGAAATTTCTTAGGAAAATTTGAATTTCTTCCCAGTACATTTCTCATTAATAATTCAGTGTCCATTGCACACACTCCTGTGAGAGTCTGTCATCTTTTCTTTTATCTCTGATTGCTATAATCAACACACTACAAAAGATATTCTTTTCCTTTGAGGAGCACTTAGTTTTGAGAACTAAAACATATATGTAAATGATACCTGTATAAAGCGAGAGGAAAACAGAAATTATACTTTTTTCCCCCTTCCAGTTTCTGCATTCCACATTGTCTAGCACGAATATCCTTGATGAGGAGTTTAGTTTCTGTTTAGATTTGCCTCTCCTTATTGTAAACGTACTGATGGAAGAGATGATGAGACTCACAAGACAGAGGGTGCTTCCTGGTTGGGAGGAAAAACTGACAAAAACTGGACACAAAGCTAAATCTTGAAAGAGCCCCCGCAGCACTGGGATGCTGCGGGCCAATTCTCCTAGGAACCCACACGATTCAGACAAGGATTTGAGGGGATCTTGAAAAGAACTGGGGAGTTGGAGTGATTCTATTTTGGACTGGAAGAATTGGAAAGCCCAAGGGAACCCAGATTAGGGATAGTGGGAAGTCCTAACAGATCGTTAAAAGTCATGACAACGGAACTGTTTTTTCTTTGTTGGTTTGTTTTTTAACATAGTAACTGTTCAGTTCCTAAATAAAGTCAGCGAGCTTTAGGCGTGCCTACATCGATTTCTGTCTCTTAAAGGTTTAGGAACGTAAACAGCAGCCGGGGCACACATCCAGGGAGCTCAAAAAAGGTTGAAATCTTAGGTATTTCACGGCAAGTCTTGAAGGTCCGTCCTCCTGCTGTTCCTGGAGTTGGAGACAGGTCCGATCACCTGCACGGCCGGACCCCGCCTGGCACCCCTGCCTGCCCAGGCCTTCACACTCTCCTCCCCCGGGGCCCGCCGACTCTGCAGGGTACAAAGTGCAGCAGGAACGCGGGCGGAGCCTTTCCCAGCGGCGCAGCCGTGTCTATCCCCAGCGAACACCTAGATGGGTTTTCAATACCGCGCCTGGCACTTTTGGATTGGGGAGGGCGGGGGAGGGCGCGGGAAGAGGGGGCGCTTAGGCTCCGGCTCCTCCGCTCCCACAGCGCGTCCTCTTTTCGGCAGTCGCTGTTGCTCGGCAGACGCAGGGGGCTCTGGGCACTACCAGCTGTATTAAGAGATTCGCAGTGGGTTTTCTCCGGGCCCCCGAACACTCCCGCCCGCCAAGAGCTGCCTGCGGGGTTGTAAGGCAGAAGCCCCTAACGCAAGGTTGCGGTCCTTCTTCCTCCTCCTCGCGCTCGCGGCTTAGGGTCAGTTTCCGCGACTCTTCAGAGTCTTTCTGAGTGGGCGCCTGTGCTGGGGTCGCGCCCCAGGAAAGGAGAGGGACCGCACGGAGAACGTCACCGCGCTTCCCAGACCTCACAGGCACTTTGCACGGGCCAGCTGCGCGTCGGTCTGGAGGTAGCGCGCCCCGGGTAAGGAATTCCGCAGCGGGTCTGAGGGGAAGGGCAGGCGGGGGCGGTGGGGCGGGGGGGTGTGGTTAGGACTCCGGACGGTTGCATCGGCGTGGAGTGGGGGGGGTCCCTCAGGGCGGGGCGGCAGCTGAGGGAAACTGAGATGAACTCCAGACATTATCTGTGCCTGAGGTCGGCTTCACGTTTTGCTGTGGCTAGGAGCCCGGTGGGATGGGACAGCATCTACAGCTTTGTTCCCCACCACCCCCCCCCCTCCAGGAAAGCGGAGGCACTCCCCAGGTCTCTCTGAAGGATAGGTAAAGGGGAACTCGGGAAGCAGCTGCTCTAGTCGACTGGAGCTCAAAACTGGGAAGGAAAAATTGGGCGAAGGGTGATAAGCCACCTCTATCGCCTACCTTCCTCTCTTTCTCCGCCCCCCGCCCCCTCCCTTTTCGTAGCTGCTGACGCGCTGGTGGTGTCTATTAATCATTCGCCAGCCCACAGCCGCGGCAGTTAATGGCAGTACCGCGCGGGGCTCCAGTCTCCCGGCCTCCCCGCTCCACGCTCGCGTGTGCCCAGGCGCCCAGGAGCGGCGAGCGGCTGCGCACCGGCAGCCGCCGGGCGATGTGCTCCGCCAGCAGCGGTGGAGCTGCGCTTCCTGCAGTCGCTGAGCGCTTCCCCCCGGCGCCCGGTGGCGGCGAGCGGCGGGCGGACCGCCGAGGTGCCGAGTGAGGGCGCCAGCGGCGGGGGTCGCCCGGAGAACGCCCTAGCCCCGGCAGCCCCACCGGCCCCCATCAGCTGAGATGTTCCCCAATGGCACCGCCTCCTCTCCCTCCTCTCCTAGCCCCAGCCCAGGCAGCTGCGGCGAAGGCGGCGGCAGCAGGGGCCCCGGGGCCGGCGCTGCAGACGGGATGGAGGAACCGGGGCGAAACGCGTCCCAGAACGGGACCTTGAGCGAGGGCCAGGGCAGCGCCATCCTCATCTCTTTCATCTACTCCGTGGTGTGCCTGGTGGGGCTCTGTGGGAACTCCATGGTCATCTACGTGATCCTGCGCTACGCCAAGATGAAGACGGCCACCAACATCTACATCCTCAACCTGGCCATCGCCGATGAGCTGCTTATGCTCAGCGTGCCCTTCCTGGTCACCTCCACGTTGCTTCGCCACTGGCCCTTCGGCGCCCTGCTCTGCCGCCTCGTGCTCAGCGTGGACGCAGTCAACATGTTCACCAGCATTTACTGTCTGACTGTGCTGAGCGTGGACCGCTACGTGGCCGTGGTGCACCCCATCAAGGCCGCACGCTACCGCCGGCCCACCGTGGCCAAGGTGGTGAATCTGGGCGTGTGGGTGCTGTCGCTGCTCGTCATTCTGCCCATCGTGGTCTTCTCGCGCACGGCGGCCAACAGCGACGGCACGGTGGCCTGCAACATGCTCATGCCCGAGCCTGCCCAGCGCTGGCTGGTGGGCTTCGTGCTGTACACTTTCCTCATGGGCTTCCTGCTGCCCGTCGGGGCCATCTGCCTGTGCTACGTGCTCATCATCGCCAAGATGCGCATGGTGGCCCTCAAGGCCGGCTGGCAGCAGCGCAAGCGCTCGGAGCGCAAGATCACCCTGATGGTGATGATGGTGGTGATGGTGTTTGTCATCTGCTGGATGCCTTTCTATGTGGTGCAGCTGGTCAACGTGTTCGCGGAGCAGGACGACGCCACGGTGAGCCAGCTGTCGGTCATCCTCGGCTACGCCAACAGCTGCGCCAACCCCATCCTCTACGGCTTCCTTTCAGACAACTTCAAGCGCTCTTTCCAGCGCATCCTTTGCCTCAGCTGGATGGACAACGCCGCCGAGGAGCCGGTCGACTACTACGCCACGGCCCTCAAGAGCCGCGCCTACAGCGTGGAGGACTTCCAGCCCGAGAACCTGGAGTCCGGCGGCGTCTTCCGTAATGGCACCTGCACGTCCAGGATCACGACCCTCTGAGCCCCGGGTCCGAGCCGGGGGGCCTTGCGCCCAGAGAAGGGGAGGATGAGGAGAAAGGGAGGCCGGATGCAAGAGGCGAAAGGATCCCAGGCGTCGGGGTGCGAGAATAAAAGCGGCGCCAGGACACTGTGCGCTTCGGCTGTAGACCCGGAAAGGCGCGAGACAAACGTGGACCCGGAGCTTTGCTTATAAACTGGGAAGACTAGCGGGCCCCTCTTCCGCTTCTTCCTCCCCTGCGCTTGCATTTCTGCATCCCTCTATGCTTCCCCCGCCCAAGGCAATTTCGGTCTCTCTTTCCGCCCGGTCCTGCTGGTGCAGGTGGTGAACTTATAAACGTCTCCAACTCGGCCCGACCCTCAGCCCCTCCAGCCGTTGTTTCTGTTTAAGCTGAGCCACGGTTACCGCCACAGGTTTCCCTCGGGAAAACCCAGCTCGCCCTCAGCCGCGCCCTGCGGCGCCCCTCGCTCGCCAGGATTCTGCTTGATGCCCCTAGCGGAGCCTGGCCAACTCTCGCTGTCCTTTTCCGCAGCCCTCTTTTCAGGGAACTCGGACTGGAGAAGGATCTAAGCAGCCGGTCTTTCCTCTCACTCTCGAGTGAAGGAAGGTGCGCGCATCCCATCCCCACACCTCCTCCCGACTCCCCATCCACCCAGAGCGGAGCCAGGTGCTTAGTAAAATAGGTCCCGCGCTTCGAGCCCCAGGCATTCTGCGATCCTTATGCAAAGCCCCTCTTTGGAGCAAAAAGGAGCTGAGAACAAGTGATTAAGGGTTTTAAAAAAGATCCCGGGGTTTGGTGGGGGAGGAGGGCTTGTAATGGAAGTCACCCTCCCGCCTGGTTCACAATGGGCGCTTTTGGTTTCGAAGATCAAGCGCAGGGGACTTCCGGGGCGCTGGTCTGCCTTAGGCCAGGCGGGACGGGGTGCGCTTGCCCCGGGGGCCGCCCGGAAGCATGGGTGCAGCTCCACTAGGCTTTCTCCCTCACCCTAGCTCCTGGAGGTGCCCATCCAAGAGTCTCAACAGGCACCGGGCGGGGACCTCTGGTGATGCCTTCCCAGTCTCGGCCAACCCCGACCGTCTCACCGCCACCTGCAGGCTAGAGGGGGCGGCCTGCCCGACCCCTGAGGGCTGCTGCCTTTCAAGCGGTGCCTAATAAGTTATTCTCTTGCTTAACATATTTATTTATTTATTTGTGGTGTTTGAAAAATGTGGTCTCTGCTTTCCTTTTCCCTCCTCGCCCTAGCCCAGGGCCTTTTCTTCAGTATATTGGCGGTGGGGCCGGCCCAGAGGTGGCAGGGGACCCCCAAGGTCCCCTCAAAACCTCTCCTTTTTGCTAGGCCCTCTTCTCTGATTTTTTCCTGTAGCCTTTATGTTTTGGCTTGTCGTCAGTAAAGTCTGCAGAGTTGTTCCTACTTTTCTTATGTAGTCTCTTGTTTTAAATAATGTGGTTTAGCCTCCTCCCATGCAGAGTGGAAAGTCCCAGCTTTCGACATAGCCCTATATATGATTTGAATATATATATATATATATTGAATACATATATTCAAATCAAAATAGACTCACATAGGAGATACATTTATCTTGCTCCCTTGTCATGAGTCCATGAGGCAGTTGCCAGACGCAGTCACTAACAGTGACAGGTGTGAGACTGGCTAGAAGACTTTTGGATACGAGGGTTCAAACAGCCTGCCCTCAAACTTGGAACTCCACAGCCTGATTCAGACAGACTTTAGTAGGCATTGAGGATGTCCTGGTTTATGTGCCTGCTTCTTCTAGGTTCCAGCATAGGTGATTCTAACATACAATCTAGGTAACATTGGCACTTCTTTTGAAGACATTGAAAGTAAATTAATTTGTGTCTGTGTTTTATCTGACCAACTTCATTGGAAGTCTGAGCAGGGCAAAGACCAATAATTTTACTTCTTTGTATTTCCTGGGTTGCTTTAGGATGCTGGCTTCTACATAGTAGGCATTAAATACATGTTTGTTGGTTGACTGTTTCAGTAAACCAGAGTGTATTACAACACTCAGGAGTTCTCAACATATGGGGTTCTCAGGTTCCCTCATCAACATGATACACAATGGTTGAAAATCACTATGGAAAGATGTTTTGTGTATATTTGCTTCAAGAACATTGTGCTTTCCTGAAAGCAGTAACCAAGAGTTACAGTGTCCCTTAAAGTTTTATTTAATGAACAAATATGCTTTTGGTCATAAATTTGAAAGTTTAGATCTGTCATTTAAAAATCATGCATATTATTACTCCTTTGGAAAATAGATTTTTAATAGTTAAGGACAGTGAAATTTACAAATTAAAGTCTTGATCATTATCCTCTTCTGAGGACACGAATCTAGTGCTCTTAACCTGTTTCCATTGTAATATTAACTAAATAAACAAATGTATTATGTTGTTGCAAGTTGTGTGACTTTGCAATTTGAATCTTCCTGTTTCAACAGATTACTTCAAGACACACACATATTGGCTTAGTTGCTCTATGTTTCATTTAGATATTAAAAAGTAAGATTTCTGATTACCTTTGGAATTTTTACCAAGATTGAGGTTATAATTTTACCTATTTTTTAAAGTCTGTTAGTTCTGAGAAAGAAAAAAACTGAGTCAGTATGAATAGGAAGCAGTGTACGACTTCCTCTATGGTTGCACCCTCTATGGTTTGCTGTGGTTACCAGACTAACTAGATGATATCACAATCTCTCGACTGTCTGCCCTCATTTATGACCTCAGACTTTGTTGTGGGAGTAAGTAATTGCTAATTTACATCCCAGGGAAAGGTAATGGAAAGGGGGAAAAGTGATGTCCTAAAGATGTTGCAAAGGGCAGTGGGTAAAGGAAATACAAAAAATCAGATCTCAACTAAAAGAAGAAAGATGTTTTTAAATATTTTTAATTGTGGAAAAGTCACACAATAGAAAACAAACTATCTTAACCATATTTAACTGTACATTTGATGACACCAAGTACGTTCATGTTGTTATGTGACTCTCACCATCATCCATCTCAGCTTTCTAAGTGGCAATTCTGTCCCCATTAAACACTAACTCCTCATCCCCCCTTCCCACCCACCCCCATCCTCTGGCCCATTGCATCTACTGATGGACTTCCTGACTATGAATTTGACTATTCCAGGTACCTTGTGTAAGTGGAATCGAACAGTATTTGTCTCACCTAATGTATACTGGAGTGCATTTTTAAGATGACCTTAATACATGTCTTACAAGCAGATTGTACCCCTCCTTCCCCACCTCACCCTATGCTATACAGTAAGCCCTCACCAGCCATCTACTTCATAGCAATCCCATTCCTGGGCATATACCTGGAGAAAACCATAATTCCAAAAGATACATGCACCCCAATGTCCATTGCAGGACAATTTACAATGCCCAGAACATGGAAGCAAACTAAATGTCCATCAGCAGAGAAATGGATAAAGAAGATGTGGTACATATACACAATGGAATATTACTCGGCCATAAAAAGGAATGAAATTGTGCCATATGCAGAGACATGGATGGACCTAGAGACTGTCTTACAGAGTGAAGTAAGTAAAAAAGAAAAAACTAGCTTATAGTAATGCATCTATATTGAATCTAGAAAAATGGTACAGAAGGACATATTTTGTGCTTTTTTCAGTGATGGCCATTTCCATCCCTAGAAGAATTTAAGAAGGTACTAAAGGAGTTTTTTGTTGTTGTTGTTGTTGTTTTTTAACAGATTTTATTTACACAGAAAAATACGGAAAAAGAAGTATTTTCTAAGCAGTGATTCCAGAACCCAGGTGGGGGGATTGTGGGCTTCAAATACCTTCAAATACCTTGTAACTCTAGGCTTTATAGTTCTACACATAATCTCAGTATGATTAAGAATAGCTGAACTGTTGCTTTCTCATTATTTTTAAAAGCTACAGCAAGGTGGCAAATTGAACTCATAACTCCGATGTGCAGAGAAAACATTCTGTTCTTTTTGTTTTAATTCATCTGACCATCCTAGCCCCTTCCAGCTGGCTAGCTAGGAGGAAAAATTAAATAACTGTTCAAACATCCAGCCGAGCTGATAATTTAGCCATTTTCAGAGAATTTCAAAATTTTATTTAAACATGTTTCAATAGTCTCTTCACTGGCTTCCCTTTCTTCTTTTGTTATCTTTAGAGTGAATTGGGAGAGGCTTGGTGTCCTAATGGAGGAGGGAATGAGGTGGGGTCCTTGGGAAAGGGGTCCCGTCTGCCCTTCGACCTCTGGGAAGAGGGCATTTGTCCACTGGGATGATTCCTGGTTGCAGTTTGTTGAAATCTGCAGCTTCCGGAGCCTGTGATCTGATTTCTCTGGTTGGCGAGGGTCATGCCTCAACTCCTGTGGGCTACAGACCTCTCAGTGTCTTTGGGGTCCTCATACAGTCTCCCAGTCTGGGGTCTCTGCCAAGACTCTGCCTCTGCCAAGGAGTGACCTGGCCTTGCCGCAGCAGGCAGCCCCATGGTGAGCCTCTTGGCTCAGTGACCAGAGGGAATCTAGTGGCTCTAGACTGGTGACCCTCAGGATCTCCTCGGGCTGGTAAATTTTTCTATGGCTCTGTCTCAGGTCTTTTGCATTTCTCCTGACAAAGGTCAACCTCACTCATTAAAAACATTCCATATACCCTGCCTCCGTGTTACATTAGACGAAGAGCATAGGGCTTGAGCCCTTTAGATTAGTTAGCCTTTGATGTGTTGCTAAGACTAAAGGACTCAAGTCCTATGCTTCTCCTCTGGTGTAATAGGGATGCAGTTAGTTTTAGCCTGTGATGTGTTGGGGGCTTCCCAGGTGGTGCAGTGGTAAAGAATCTGCCTGCCAATGCAGGAGACGTGGGTTTGATCCCTGGGTTGGGAAAATCCCCTGGAGTAGGAAATGGCAATCCACTCTAGTATTCTTGCTTGGAAAATTCCATGGACAGGGGAGCCTGGCAGCTGCAGTTCATGGGGTCACAAAGAGTCGGATGTGACTGAGTGACTGAG